ATTAAATGTAAAAATATATACAAAAAAAAGAATAGTGAAACATTCAAGAGAATGAAACCAGTAATAAAATTTTTTTTAAACAATCTAGATGAAGAATTTTAAATGCCATCTCTATCGATTGATCTTTCTTTCTTTCTTTCCCCCCTCCCTCCCTTAAGTTTAAAAAAAGATTGTGATTTTCTTATTTTACAAGATAACAAATGTTGTTCTGTATTGCTTTACTTTTCTTTTTTTTTCTCGAAAAATTTTTTTTCCAAGAAACAATTTTTCTTGTGTTCAATAATCAATAATTTCGAGTAGGTTACATGGGAATTTTCAATGATTGGAAATTTATACCTTAAAAATCAATAATAATAATAATAATAATAGTCAAGTCTTATTCCTTATTTAAGAATGTAACGAGTGGTGTTAACTTGTTTGTTTTTCTTTATTTTTAGAGATAAAAATCATGATATTCAATATATATTGAATAGTATGTTCAATGGCTTGAAAAGACTTCAAAATAAATGTAACTATACTAAGATGTTATTTATTCACTTATATGAATTGGTTTAACCTTCAATTTGGACAATATAGTTATTATTATTACTTGAAAAAAGTCTATAGCAAAAATCGTTAATGAAAATTGATGAAAAAAAGCGTCCATTATGATGTATACTGTAATTATAATAAACTAGCGCTAAGATCAAAGTGGAATTATGTAGCTTATATCAAATACTTGTTTATACAATAATCATTTATTTATGTAAAAATTTAACGAATAAAGTATGTTTATTTAGTAACCTGGATAAGATATTCGTGTTATAAGTAGTTTGATCAATAAATTGTCATGGCAACCAATAATAATCATATTATTTTTAATACTAGTTAGTCGGTAAAGCTAGTGACTAGTTTTATTAAAGAAGCTCTGTGTACAATGTTTTAGAGATTGGGAACGTGATGTCATCATAATAGGAAACATATATATAAGTTAGTGAGATCACTTTTCTCTTTGAAAATTAATTTTAATAGAATTGTATTCTGTGAGCTGGGCATTTTCATTATACTTATTAAACCTTTTTAAAAAAATCACATATAGAAATTAATAAACGAATTATTGTGTCATATACGATGTACATAATAGAAATGGTAACCATATTGTTGAGAATTGTACCAATAAGTGTAGCCCATAAACCAACAGAATTATTTCAGTCAATCTTATGCAACTTAAAGGGTGAAAATTCAGATATCATATTTAAAATAAATTGTACACACTACGATAAGTTTTACGTCGAACAAAATGGTTGCTCAGTTCATCTTAGTCACTGTGAATACTAATTGGTTGTCAAATATATTTACATGAGATTAGACCAACTAACTCAGAGAAAGAAAATATATCTAAATTAATTTGCTGAGGTACAAATCTCTCCCGTCAATCATCTAAAAAGCAAATTAGTGTAATACGCTTCTTGTTGTTGTTTAAAAATGCGAAAACTTCAATAAAAGGCGAGCTTCTTTTGCTAGAATCACTACTCCTTCTCTACAAATGTCTTTGACAGATGAAATGAAATTTGAGATGCATACAAGAAAAAAACAATTGCAAAAACATACCAGTTCCTTTAGGATTCATCCAAGGATAAACAACTACATTGGATTCATTTGAATTACCACCTTGACGTAATGATTGTCCAATACAATCATTACTATTATCATTCAATGTGGAATGATTATTACTATTATTAATATTGTCCAAAGATGAATTCATTAACATATTAGTAGAATTGTTCAAATATGATTGATTCTCTGAATTCACTAATGATCGAAATACTGTACTACCAAATGATGATGATCCATTTAATAAGGCATGATAATTTGTATCATGTAATGTTAAATTTCCATTTAGTTTCATTGAATCATTCATACTTAACTGATTATGCATTGTACGTGAATTGAAATTCAATGTATTTGTTAATGAATAAGGATTTTGTGCGTTGAAAGTTGATATATCATATAGATGAGATCGTGAATCGTTACCATTATTAGTAGTACTGTTATTGTTACTATCGTTAGTAGTATTCAATTGAAATGAATTATTATTTGAATGACGAGTCATTAATGAATTTGACTGAATTGTTGGATGTATAAAATTAGTTCCATTGAAAGGATTTAATAAACCATTTGGATATGATTTCAATTGATTTGAAGTAGGATATTTTTGTTCTGTATCAGAGTATATAAGTCGTTGTTGGTCATCATATGATAAATGTATATTATTACTATTATTATTATTACCACTACTATTGTTATCATTATTACTTCCATTAGTATTATTATTAGTAGTAGTAATAGTAGAACCGTTATATTTTAATTCATTAGACATAAAAAAATTCTTCCCTGTAAATGATTCAAGTGAGTTAATATCACGATGTATTAACTTAGAACTATTATTTAACTGTTCCATGGTTAAATTTGGATTTAAATTGTTAATAGGTGAATGATTATTATTATTGACATTGGTGGCACCGCCAAGTTGACTAACAAGAGCAGCGGCTGCATTCGCTGCTAATAGATAATCTAATTCTTTCGGTCCATTACGTCCATATACATTGGAGGCAGTAGAAGAGATCAAATCATTTGATTGTCGAATTAAATTTATATCTGAATAAAAATGTTGATTTATTATTCCTGTATTCATACTATTATTATTAGTATTATTGTTTAGACTTGTTGCAATTGTCGGTGATGGTGAAGAACCAACTGGTGAATGCTCATTTGTTACGGCACAATTAAGACGTAAACGTGTTGGCTTAGATGATATTTCTTCATTATGTGTTATGGTTATTGCGTTTGTGACAGTTGGTGACTGAACTGTAGCATATCCTACTTTCATATTACAATCAAGATTAGTTTGTCCCCAATCTTGATTACCAACTTTATTACGTCTTAGTCCTAATTGTCTTGACAATGAAAAATTACGTTCACCAGGTGATGAATTAGTATTATTGATTACATCAGAACAGTTTGTTGAATCATTATTATTTTTGTTACTAGTTGACGTTGTCGGTGATATAATTGACGGTAAACGTAATTCATGTAAATGTTGTGATTGCGTCAGTTGTGTTTGTTGTTGTTGTTGCTGTTGATGATGATGAGAAGGAAGAGGAGGAGGATAATGATGTTGCGGTTGTGACGATTGTTGTTGTTGTTGATGGGCTAACTGTTGATTCTGTGAATAATTTGTTAATTGTGAATTAAGAACTGGACCATTAACAAGACGTGTATCAACTCGTGTACCATAATAATTTGGTTGCATTGTTAACATAGCTCACTGGTGAAAAATATGAATAGAACTGTTTGTTTGTATTTTAACTGAAAGATGACTGATAGTAGAAAAAAATTAGTTATCAATACTGATGGTAATTTATTTGTATATGATGTACTGGATTCCTCTAATCACAAAAAAAAATCCAGGCAATGAATTAATAATTGAGTAATCACGTGTATAAAGCTTTATGACACTGAACGTTATAATCTAAGCTTTAAATTTGAATAATAGTTTAATAATAATGATAATGATAGCTATAACAATTATAATGATAATTATTTAGTGTATGTTTATGGTTTAATTGGTTAGAAACTCTACAAATCAGATTTTTAATGTGACTAAATAAACTCTATAAGCGCTGTTTATGTATGTATATACATATATGTGTGTAATTGTGTCTATTGATATCTGTACACTTATCTATCGGTATGTGTGTGTGCGTGTGTGCGTAAGTCATACCTGATGCTAATATCATTTTTTTTTATAGAAAACAAAAACCAAGTGAATGAAATAATAATCTAGCTTCTTCCCTGGTAGAAATTAGTATTTCGCACAATTAACCAATCACATTGTCGATACATTAAACCGTCTTTTACTCTTATCTGATTGGTTAAATAGAAGTTACCTTTTTCAAAATGAACAGGTAAGGAAACAAAATAGTTTAGTCAGATGAATACAGTAGATATAATATTTATTTTATTTTAAGAAGACTAAATTTCACACATGTCTGTAAAACAAGAATTAAATACACCATTAACTTGGTGAAGAGAGAAGAAGAAAAAAAAGCAATTGCAGGGGTTATTACTTGTTATTGATTTTAAGCCGCCAAATACTTTTGATAAGCGGTATACTTCAAAGTTGAGAAACTTAAAGGTCATAGAATCATGAAATCTCTTATTTTTGGTAAGCAAAAAATAATTGCGTTTGCTCGTATAAATATAAATGCACACATACATATATATATACACGTACAAAGTATGTATATAAGATGATAGCATCAAAATATGGGTCGGCAATATATGAACTGTCAGAAATTTGAAATAACAAATTTATGGGTTAGGAATTTTGAAGCGAAATCTCTCTTTTTTTTGAATTATTGAGTAAATACCATGGGAAATGAATCGTTTCGTTTTGTTCATTTTTTGTTGATAATTTCGAATTGTGAACAATCATTGTAATAAGCTGTTGTGGTTGCTCTAACTCCATGCATTACGACGGAACTTTACATTTTTCAATTATACACGTTCTCTGAAGTGTTTACCTAATTATATTCTGATTTCATTGTGTTACTGATGTACTAGAAACAAAAAAACATCCGTATTATTAGATCAAAGATTACAATTTTGTTATAACGTGAAAAATAAATGCTGCTGATTAAGGGATAGCGAATTATTGATCGGACCAAAGACGCACAAACACGTAGAACGACCTAGGGTTCTGATTGGTCTCGCTTCCCTGTCTAGCCCAGCCAGTTGAGTCCAGAACGCAAGTCACAGCCTCGGATATATGAATCATTATATTTCAAACATACTCTATTTATATACCAAGCAAACAAACCACATCGTACCACAAAGTAGAAAATAACATTGTACAATATTGGCCAACAGGAAAATAACACGTTAAATAAATATCGACCAATGGGAAATGTACATTTAAGGTCCAAGGACACCATTGGACTTAACATGATAATTATTGGTCTATTTCCGACTACCTAACACCTCCCCCTTTTTTTAAAACAAAAGATCCGGAGTTAATATCTGGATAGTTTTCGCGTCTATCCTCCCCCTCGAAATAATGTTGGGTCTTCATAAATCCAAATTACAATTAATTTGATTGTCTTCAAAACATATTGCACAGGGAATGCAGTAAAATCGATCAGATATTGAGGATAAACGCCATCCAATTCGAAGTCATCAGGGTTTAAATCTTTAGTAAGTAGTGGTTCATTATGATAATCGGCGTCCAACAAAACTGTACCAGGTTCTTGGTTATTATTTGATACGTGAAACACATTTTCTGGCAAAACAATGAGATCTTCTCGTGAGCTGGATATGTTACTGTCTGCACATGCTGTTTCGGGGTTGATGTAGTTTGAATCCATTACCGGGCATGTTTCTGAAATGGAAAGTACTGGACCAGTGGGCGCATCATGGATGACTGTTTCGTTTGAAGTACAGTTCATCGAGGATTCATGGAGGCTGCTGTCATTTTCCAGCTCACTGTGTATTTCAGATATCAATCCATCCACTTCCGTCGCATCTTCATAACATGAGTGATTTAGCAGCTGCGTGCGGAACTTGACTAATAACTCCAAATGTCGTTCAAAGAGCAGCTGTAATCGATCGGAAGGGAGAGTCATTTTTTTGAATCAGCACCTGTGATGAAAATTACTGTATGACTAATGACCAATGTGGTTCAAGGACACTGATGACAATCTGGATACTGATTGGTTGAATAATTAGACTGGATTTCGTCCAATTACAGAATGACTGGATTGTATCTTTTCTTCACCCCGTCGCCAATTGTTATAACGTGAAAATAATGCTGATTAAGGGATAGCGGATTATTGATCGGACCAAAGACGCACAAACACGTAGAACGACCTAGGGTTCTGATTGGTCTCGCTTCCCTGTCTAACCCAGCCAGTTGAGTCCAGAACGAAAGTCACAGCCTCGGATATATGAATCATTATATTTCAAACATACTCTATTTATATACCAAGCAAACAAACCACATCGTACCACAAAGTAGAAAATAACATTGTACAATATTGGCCAACAGGAAAATAACACGTTAAATAAATATCGACCAATGGGAAATGTACATTTAAGGTCCAAGGACACCATTGGACTTAACATGATAATTATTGGTCTATTTCCGACTACCTAACAAATTTCTTATAGGGAAGAAATTTAGGTTAATATTTTCCGAATAGGTTTTATCCTTTAATATAAATATTACAAGCTTTGTTTATAATTAATCTAACATTTAACATTAAATTGAATTGATCAGGATCTTTTTTTGTGTGTAATCGTTCTTTAAACTAAGGAACAAATGAAACATAAACTACGAAACGGAGCACAATTTATTTAAAAGGACATCACTTCATAGTGTTTATCATATTACTGAGGATAAATCCTCTATCTTTGTGACCATGATTGCATACGTTCAATAAATTACAGAATTTTAGTTTTTTGAAATGTTTAGTCGAAATATGACTCAAGTAGCTATAGATATTAAAGATAAAACTGAAACGTACAAAGGTTTATAAATTTTCACAAGTAAATATCTAAAATTCATATATATTGGTTGTTTGAATCCAACCACTTATGTTTAAGATTGAAACTGATCTGTCTCTTTTGGTATACTTTCATCTTGTACGGATTATCTCGATGCAGGAATGCAGATACATCTAACATATGAGTCCCCAACAAAACGAAATGCGTGTCCTGGATTACACTGCTAGACACCATCCATCTTTGCTTAAGTATCTAAAATTTTTTAAAAGAAATACAAGTTCGAACACTGATTATTACGTTATAACAATAGTTAACTGTAGTTAGAAATGAGGATCGTTGAAATTGGACATGGAAACTTGAAGACCATAAGCAAGGAATAATGGACAACTGGGGGATTTTTAAGATTGAATGTTGTGGATCAGTTTATTATTTCTGGATCACTTAACGGCATCTGAATAGAGACAAGTAGTAGGCACTAAATGTATAGAGCTTTCCACGAAATCTACCTTCTTTTTCAAACTACTTAAGTTTGTTAAGCGTGTTAGAAACCATCCACTAGTAAATGCGTTAGTGTATGAATCATACTGAATTTGTGAAGAAAAATATTTCCGAATCAACTATCGGTGTGTTTTAAAGAATTTTAACCTAAATTTGAGTGGTAATCGTAATTTTTTGCCAGGAGTGTTTCACTATCCTGAAATGAAGTAATTGTCATCTTCATATTAAAAACAGGAGTGTACATCATCTATGCAACGACTATAATGGGATAAATCTACATTCGATTGCATCCAAACTACTGGCTTCGGTCACGTACCTCAAATTGTCCAAACCTATAGATGGTTGACTTGCTAGGAGTGAGCTGTTTTTCGTTCAGGTCACGAATGCATTGATCGTATTTTCAGACCTCACTAAATGTTAGAGAACTGTCATATTTATTAAAGGTCAACAGTCGTTGTTCGTGATTGTTGATCAGCATGTGATTTGTTGAACAGTACTGTCTTTTGGGACTGTCTGTTGAAGAATAATGTGCATGAAAAGTTTATTAGCATCTCGAAACCTCCATATAAAGACACATAAGGCATAATGAGAACATACATTCGCTTCCCTCCATTGTTTCATTGCAGCAGTGGAGTTAAGCACAGTTGTCTAATCTCACCAGTTCTCTTCAACCTAGCCATCGATTACGTTCTGATAATAGTTCATATGGAAGTAGGTAGTGGTGGTGTGGATCTGTTACCTGGAGAGTGACTTTTCGATCTTGTGTATGTGATGATACTTGGGCTATACAATCCGTGCTTAATCAGTCGATAATCAATGTCTTTAAGTGTGACATGCATTTTGCACTTCTAAACATGAAGTATTTTCACATGATTAGCAGGAGCCTTTGGCTACTCTCACTCGTTTTGATGAGACGTTAGAACTAGAAAAGAAGTTCGTTTATATAGGTAGCCGTATGAGTGTTGGTGGTGTGGTGTCACGTGAAATCAATCGGTGTTTAGTGAAAGTCAGAGCAGCTTATGTCAATGTGGGCCACCTTTGGTGGATTCATGATGTCAATATGGCTGTAAAAGGTTGAATTTACATAGCGTCGACCAGAGTGGTTTTACTTTAAGCTCATGATAACTGGCCTCTCCTAGTTGAGGATGTTCGGAAACTCTTTGAGTCCGACTTCTGCAGTCTCCTTAGAATTACTGAAATCCAGTGGCAACATCATGTACGTAGTACGGGGTTGCGGCAACGTGTGTTCGGGCACAGTGGCAATATTTCAATTTGAGTCTTTACCTTGAAACACCAACGTTGATGCCTTTGAAATGTTTTAGGAATGTCGTCCTAGTGAATTCCATTTTGTACATTATTTGCCGACACTGGGACTAGTTGGAAGAGAGTGAGAGGTGGTCAGTTTAATAAACGTTGTTGGGGTATGAAAAAAGCTGTACAGGGCTGGCATCTGTCTGTCACTCATGAACTCCTGGTTGGGTTCCTAGGGATGTTGAAACCTAGTGGCTTAAGATGTGACTCGGAATAGAATCAAGTGGCAGTCTTGCAATAGTTTTAGTTTTACACATTCCGTAAAGGTTAGTAGAACTCTCTTAAGTGAAATAAGTTTTCCTGATTATATTTTTATTAGTAATATTTCAATTACTATTCTTTTTAACTTACTTTTATTCACTTATTTATGATTATACCTCCTTCCCTCCTACTTCTATCTCGTGATAATCTAATTTCTAGTTTTATAAAGGGGAAATTCATTTTTGCTATTAAATTCTACCAGTAATTATATCCATTAAATAAAGGTTTATTTTTAAACTATTAGTTTTTGATATAAATTTTACACAGTTACGAAAAATGGTATTTCCATCATAAGGTAAAATTGGTAAGAAATTCAATCAAAATCTTGAAAGTTAGCGATATTTTAAATTTTCCTAACACCATTGAACATTACGTATTCACGATCTTGAGTAAGGTTGTACATAGATAGTTGGTTAGGTTTATAATGAACTTACCAGTAAAATCCTAGTGAGAATTTATCATATGTAAATTTAGATAAGTCAGAAGAGATAATAACTCAAAGATGGAGATAACAAAATGACAAAAACGTGAAATATGGATAGTTGGTTTCATTACTTCATTCCTTACGCCTGTTATCCATCGTGGAGGAGTATAGGCCGCCTACCAGCACTCATCATTCAACCCTGTCCTGGGCAATCCTTTACAATTCTTTCCAACTGCTATTCATCCTATACATTTCTGCTTTCAATTCCTGACGTAGTGTGTTCTTCGGCCTTCTTTTCCGTTTCCCTTCAGGATTCCAAGTCAGCGCTTGTCTCGTGATGCAGTTTGGTGATTTCCGTAATGTATGTCCTATCCACTTCCAGCGTCTTTTCCTAGTTTCCTCCTCAGCTGGAAGCTGGTTTGTTCTCCCACACAGAAGGCTGTTATTGATGGTATCCAGCCATCGGACATTAAGCATCTTGCATAGACAACTGTTTATAAATACTTGTACATTTTTATGATGGTTGTGGTAATTCTCCACGTTTCAGCTCCGTACAGTAGAACTGCCTTGACGTTGGTATTGAAGATTCTGACTTTGACATTGGTTGACAGTTGTTTTGAGTTCCATATGTTCCTCAACTGTAGAAATGCGGCCATTGCTTTTCTAATCCTCGACTTTACATCTGCATCTGATCCTCCTTGTTCATGATGCGGACCAAGTACGTGAAAGATTCCACATCTTCCATAGCTTGTTCATCAAGTGAGATTCTGTTGGTGTCCTCCGTGTTGAGGCCTACCAGTGCAGACAGAGACTTCTGCTACACTAGTTGTCTTCATCTGCATTTGTTCGTGTGCATGGGGGTAGGAGAGCTAGGTCATATACGAAGTCCAAATCTTTTAGTTGAGTTCGAGCTGTCCATTGTATTCCGTGCTTTCCCTCAGATGTCGAGGTCTTCATAACACAGTCAACCACCCGAAGAAAAAGGTTGAGAGTAGACAGTTTTGTCTGACTCCGGTCCTTACTTTGAGTGTATCTGTCAGTGTGATCCAGTTAGACCCATGAAGCTTTGTGCATGCGTTTGTGAGGGAATATTGTGCCATCTATAACCAATTTGTTGTATGCACATAGGTTTGCAAGCCTCTCCCCCATTTTTGTTTCTCTCTCCCAGTCCATATCGTCTCATGATAACTTCATATCCGGTGTTGTCCATTCTGACTTTGGCATTTAGGTCTACCATCAAGATGGTGAGATCCTTTCTTGAGCACTTCGCTATGATTGATTGCAGCCCCTCATAGAACGGATTCTTATTGCTGTTGTTGCTATCATTGGTAGTGGGGTCCAATAGGTTTCGCTGATTCCGAGTACTGCTAAGTTGTATATCCTCAGTTCCATTGTTATTTGACTTGTCCTCTCGTTCTCCTACATTATCCGGACGTTTCATGTACCTATATTGTTGGAAGGGTCACCGACCTCGTGACTTCGGAAGAATTTCGGCTTTTATCCCGAGGTATCATAATTCCTTCTTCAACTCTCAGGGCAGGGTTTAAATTGTTTAATCTGGTTGGCGTTATTTTTGCAAGATTTTTTTACGGGAATGGGTTGCTGACCTTATGCCCAACCCTCCTTCTTTTATCCGGACTTGAGACCGTCAGTATCTGAAGGAGAGCTACAGGCAGAGTTAGTTAGTTTCGTACTTACATTAAATTGCCGGTACAATTCGCATTTCAAACAGATAAAGTATGTGTTTTGTCTAATGAAGAGTTGTGAATGTACATAGTTCGGAAACATTATACTTAAACGAAATAACAGTCTAGCGTTCTATGATCTTCAGCGTTTTTCTAATTGTTGGTAGCTCTATGTAATTAAGTTTTCAAAGAAATTTTAATGACATGCATTGACTTTGTGTAAATAACCAGTTAAAATCCACGAAGGACTTTGGTAACAACGGAAATAAATAGTGGTTGACTGGATTTGAAATATAAACTATTGGATACCAACTCAGTGGTCTAAAA